CGGGGGACACAGGGGGCACGGCCTCGAGGGCAGTGTTTCGCTGAGCGACCGCAGCATCGTGCGGCCGCCTAAGGATTTGTGCCCCTCGCCGCTGGAAACGTCGTCCAACGGTGTTGATCCTTGGGGTTTCGTCCCCACGCGAGACTTGGCGGGGAACTGATGGCGTGTGCGCCCTGAAAGCAGCAGTGCTGACATTGGTTCGCCCTCCCGTTCCATAGGAGCCTGAACCTCCACCTAGCCGCTCATGGACTGAGGGTCGGTGGTCGCTGGACCCTGTCGTATCATCGTACGACTGCATACGGCGGATGGGAGAGAGGGGTGTTCGCTGGGTGCTTGCGGAGTACACCTGCTCTTGAGCCTCCCGCTCGTCTGCCAAACGGCGCATGGTGTCAGCAAGTTCCCGCATGAGGCGGGGATCCTGTCTGGCCTCCAGGGGAATAAGGTCAGTGATTCCCCCGTTCCCCCCAGAGGTCCATATCGTCGCGGATTGTTCCGAGTTCTGGCCGCGATTCCGGCGGCTTGATTCCAGACGCTCGGAGAGGTCACGCTGGTTGTTGCTTCCTGACATCGTGTTTTGTTGAAAGGCAGGTTGTTGCTGTTCTAGCAGGGAGAGTTTGGAAAACTTTTAGTTCAGCTTCCCACAGACGGCGCCAGTGTTGAGGTTTATTCCTTCAACCCTCAGGCCCAACACGTAAGCCCGAAGATTTCGAGTGGAGTGAGTGTATGAGTATGTGAATAGGTATCCTTCAACAGCTATCAGATGGATCAGGAAACAGGGGATATAGTAAGCAATGTAAATAGGTATTATTAACTTCGTAATAACTCCCCTAAGTACAATCTACTTGCTAAAAAAGGCACGTCGGCCGTTCGTCTTGCTAGGCAGTAATCTCAGCTGCGAGCAAGGGAAGTAAGCTAGAATGATAAGAATAGAAAGTTGCCAACCCTTTACAATGAAATAAATGCTTCTATTTATACCCACCAATGGGCAGGTGGCTATGCTGACGTGGAAGCCTGTGGACCGCTGGTGTCTCAACCACCAAATCTTCAGCATTAAATGCACTTCCCGCCAGAATCTAGGTTTCCCGCCTAAATAGTGGGGACGTTCGTCCGCCCGGGGAGCGAGCTGGATCGCTCCAAGTGACCCTCAAGAGGTACCGGCTGTTCGTCTCCTGGCCTTAATGGATCCTCACCATGTGGACTGGATTTCCTCCGATGGCCATAGGCTTGCTCTGGAGACGTTCGTCGTCATCCCTGATGGCCCGTGGTCCTGCTTCTTGTCCCTGCATAGACGTTCGTCGAGATGGGCCGTCGAGCCTAAACCCCCAATCCCAGACGTTCGTTGCTCCCCAAGGAGCATGGGCCTTCGGCTAGCCTTGTGTCCTAACTGGACGTGCGTCTGGTAAAAGGGGGTTAATGGGCCGGACCTCGGCTTGGGCCATTAACCCAACAGATACAGTACATCCGCCCCTGAAAATAACTTGGTAAAGGGTTTTGTTTTCTTGACCACTTATCCTGAAGTCAACGTGCCTTCTAAATGTATCACTATAATCAGCGTGTATTAACGTTTTTTGCTAGACAACTCGCATGCATAATATCAGATAGACTAACTTCCCATTTTCTTAGTATAAGATTACTTCCTTTATATATCTATCCATTGATGTACAGAGTCTATACACAGTGAGCCTTGTTTATTTAAAAATAAGAAATTCTTTATTTCTCTTAATTTTAGGAATTCCAGCTCTCTACATACCTAGGGCATACCTATTGCATCACCATAAAATCCAAGATAAATGAATGTGTATCAGTCTATACGGACTACAGTACTTTAACAACTAAACATGGAAAAGTTAATGAGTATAAAACTCAATAGACTTTCAAGGAAAAGTACGAGTATTTGTTTCCGGGGAAAGGTGAAGAAATAATTCGTTACTCTTTTAGAGGCCGTTTGGCAATACTGTTTTTCGGCTTATCAGGCTTATCAACCAGCTTTTTCACCAAACACGTAATTTTTGTTTGTGCGCGCTGAATTGTGTAATAAGCAGAAAAAATAAGGTTGGAGTTACTTTTCTGGCTGTATTGGCTGAAGTTACTGTAAATGACTATTTTAGCTATTTCTACATATAATTTTTTCTTTATTTTATTAATTTAATATATTTTTAAAATAATTTTTTCTTAAATCAGCAGAATCAGCCAATGCAGCCACTTCAGGCAGAACTTCATAACTTTCAGCAGAATCAGCCAAAACAGCCGATTTTGGTGCTACCAAACGGGCTCTTAATCTCCTAGCGGATAAAAGCTCACTTTTCGCCAATTTAGAGTTTGGGTTAATCTCGATTTTGGACCGGACCTAATTCATTCAAGCCCTCATCTCTGTAGAAAACAAAATATCTGGACCAAGCAAAAAGAAGAACACAGTGGAAATGATAGAACTCGCAGTTAATGATATCACCCGTCCACTTTTCTTGATGATGTCAATCCAACTTTTCCGACCGTTGGATCTGCCTAAAAGTTTACCTGGAAGTTTAACTCACTGGTCTTTTTTCTTAACGGTTTGATTCATGTCTTGAGGTTTCTACCTGGAGTTACAGGGATTCAAACAACTTGTTTTTCGGATATTTCTTCCCTCTTGTGGTGTATTGGTGTTGTTTTATGTTGCGTTTTGTCTCTTCCTTTTGATGCTGCTTATCATAGACTATTTTGGGAGAACATTGTAAAGAAACTCTGATATACATTGCAGCTTTAATGATGGCCAGAAGGTTCCATAGTTTTTCCTATTGGATTTGATTTGTTTTCATGTAAACGTATCGTACTATTTACTTTCAATGTTATTTGTTCTATTTCGAGTGGTTAAATCAGTGCAATGTGCCCCTACCCTTTACAAGTATCGGAAATCGATTTATAACACCATATAGTGAACATTGTGTATTTGTGTTTTTTTTGAAAAAAAAATGTTATATAACTATATTGATGATGTAGCAACTACCACATATAGATATGTTAGGTGCCATCGTGTCATTGGAGAACATGATAAAGTATTTAACCAAGTGAAGTCCAACGTCTTAAAAAAATAAAAATTCATTCCAAATGCCGTGAACATACGTTTACATACATGTCTTACTTTCATTGGTCACAGAATAACCGATGCTTATAGTGCACACTGCACACAAGGTAATGTCATTATAAAGAGTTAGAGACCGAAGTTTGATTTAGCATTTCGTATATGGCTACATCTCTATTTGTACACATATTGGATTATTATGAATAGGAGATGCCTATTACGATTTTTAATTGCATATGTTTATTAGATAGGAGTACTAACCTATTTAATTATTATTGATTTTATAACTACTACATATTTGGGGCTATTGGATTTAAACTTGCAAATGAAATGCATGTTCTACAAACACTATAAACCTCACCATTCACCACACTCATTTTAGGTTGCTTATTACCACAATGTTGATATTATATTCCTATAGGTTGTCATGGGATCTATCCTTGATCAAGATAAAAGACACCTCATATATACTATTACGAAAAATATTTACGCTTAAAGCTTGTGTGTAATTTCAAACAACTCATATATACTATGTTAAGTTTACCGAAATAGCATTGGGCATTTTTCCCTCGCGCATCGCGCGTCGTACAACTAGTATTAACATAAGTATATATAAATGTTAATGTTATGTAGACATTGTACTTAGGGGGTGTTTGGATCTGATTCTTAAAACTGCTTCTGCTCATTCAGGGAGTAGAATCAGAAGCTGAAGTGTTTGGGTGAAAGTGCAGAAGTGATTCTGGTGCTCTAATTTACTCCCAGAATCAGTTTTTTTAGAAGCTGGGGGAGACCACTTATGAAAACTGATTCTGATTCTGCTTCTGCTTTAAAAAAGAAGCAGAAGCAGAATCAGTTCCAAACACCCCTTATTTTTGCACGCACTGTGTTCTAATTTATATTTTTCAAATATAAAAGGTATTTACAAAAGTATTATAATCAACTACAAAAATTAAAAAACTAAGTTTACCATTTTCACTCTCATATATAGATTTTTCTCAATAAATGCATTCTTATATAAATTTTTAGATGTATTATTTATTTTCCATTTATAAATAGAAGTCATTAATATTATAATAATTATATATGAATTTTAATGTTATATAGATGGGGTAGATAATATGAGAGTAAAGCGTGCAACATTGGAAAGTCATTTGAATGATCCGTCATGAAGTGGAGCATCTACAAGCGATGGTCATGACTATCATTCCACATATACTCCCCTTAATGAAATTAGTAATAGTACGTTACATTTTTTTTTTGTATTTGATTATATATCATACTTGCGTTTAATTGTTAGTTCAATAAAAATATTCTAAAAAGTATTCCAATATGTGCCTTATGTCATTATAAATAAATAAAAAAGTATACAATTTATTAGTATCGTACCCGTGCGATACTAGTAAACAATTTAATACCACGACTAATCACTAATACTAGTACTCCATATAATTTACCGGGAAAACTGTCAAATAGGTCCTCGAACTTTCATAAAAAAATCAATTAAGTCCTTCTATAGGAGACTTTGTCCGGTCATCGCGATTTGGGGCGGTTCCCGGTGAAATTTTTTGATGAAATTTTTAGAGCATCTTATTCATCAGGTCTAGTTTACTCATACCAAATTTTAGCTAAAAATTTAATCGGAAGCACATTCAAATTAATTCAAGAACGCAAAAATGTGCAGTTATCTTCAAGAATTAATTTGAATGTGTTCCCGATTGAATTTTAAGCTGAAATTTGGTATGAGTAAACTAGACTTGGTGAATAAGATGCTAAAAAAATTTCATCAAATAACTCCACCGGGAACTGCCCCAAATCGCGACGGCCGGACAGAACCTCCTGTAAAAGGACTTAATTGACTTTTTTTTTTATGAAAGTTCGAGAACCTATTTGACAAAGACCTAAAGTGTGTTTTTGTTTGGGATCTAAATTTAATTGATTCAAGCCCATACCAAGACCCGAGTCGGAAGCCATGTCGATTCCCGCCTCCGGCAGCTTCAATTTCTCGAAGCTTTTCAGCCCCCGAAAAAACCTCCATCTTCTTTCCCAGCAATGCCCAGTTCCACACCATATTCTCCAATTCCACGTCTTCGGTTGCAGCTCCAAATCCCCCGACTTTGTACCCTTAAACCTTTCCTTCCGGAATACTGGACGAGTTCAGAGATTCAAATGTACTGGTGGATCGGAGTCCGTACAAGCTTCTCCAACCTTGTCGAGTGGTGGAGAGGAAGAAGCGAAGCTAGATGACGGTAACAGTGGAGGAAACGGACGATTTCCCTCCGGAAATGGCGGCGGCGGTGAAGGAGAAAATGAGGGTAACGATGATGAAGATGAGTTTGGACCGATAATGAAGTTCGAGGACGTTATGAGGGAGGTTGAGAAGCGCCGCGCTAATCTGCCCGATGATATGTTGGAGATTGCAAAGGCTATCGGGCTTCGCAGGCTCATTCTTACTCGATACTTGGATTTGCAGGTAAACGTGTTTCAGAATTATGCTTTTATTTGTTACTCTATGTTTAGCTGGAGAATCCTTACACGGTTACACCTCTATGACTTGATGTCCAGGCTGCAGGTTGGCCTCTCGGATTTTTAATGAGATATTGCTCAATGCTGAGGGATCGAATGCTAGCGGATCCTTCTTTTCTATTCAAAGTTGGAACAGAGGTTAATCAAATGTAGCTTTAGAATTTGGTTTTGCATTTTTTGGTTTGGTTTTCACCAACCATGTTTAAATACTGATATATATGCTCTAATAGTGCAGATTGTGATAGACTCTTGTTGTGCGACTTTTGCTGAAGTTCAAAAAAGAGGAAAGGACTTCTGGGCAGAATTTGAATTGTATGCTGCTGATCTTTTGGTTGGCATTGTTGTTGACATTGCTTTAGTTGGTATGTTAGCTCCTTATGTCCGGTTCGGGAAGAAGTCAGTTTCAACTGGATTGTTTGGACGCCTGCAGCATGCATGCGGATCTCTTCCCAGCAGGTGCCCTGCATTAGGATATATATCTTCATATATCTCTGAATCACTCATTTATAGTGGGATTGCTAGCAATCTGGGATTGTGGATGTAGGCTATTTTTGGAACTATAAAATTAGGGAAAGGGAGAAAAATGCCTTGGGAAGTGATTTTGTTATATTTTATTTTTACGAATGAAAATCAAATTCAATCGAAACTTCTACTTTCTTTTTACATATAGTTAGGCTTATGAATTATGTTATTTCTGTCTAGATAGTGTACAAATATGTACTTCAATAGAGTTTTCAGAAATATCTAAAATAATTGTGTTGTGCCTGAACCAATTCTTTTAATGTCCCCCAAATTTTCTTACCCTCACAGATTACCCAATGTGCTCACTATGAAGCATGTTGGCATATAATGGTGTAGATTTTCCATTTTTTTTAAGATGAGAGACTCCCCAACCTTCATCACTCCAGCGTGCTATATACTGAGCATGTTGGCGTGCTTACTAAATTTGCTCTATATTTTGCTCCTTAATTTCTTTGCCTAACATTCTAAGGGACTCAAACGGCCCATTATAGAATCTCCTTCCCTAAAAGTATTCCTCAGATATTCTAAAACAAGGTGGAGGTAACATTAATAGTTTAATACATTTGGAGCAGGCTCTAATCTTTTAGTCTTTACCTACTCCTTAGCTTTTCTGTGATTGCATTTATTTATTCATCCATCCATCCACTTATTTATTCACCTATTCAAAAAGTAGTTTTCTAGATTAAAATAATACGTAGTATGAATTATCTCCATGGTTGATGTAATTTTGATGCAGTGTTTTTGAAGCTGAGAGGCCAGGTTGTAGATTTTCATTGCAGCAGCGGATTGCCACTTACTTCTATAAGGTTCAGATCACTTCTAATGATATCTGTAATTCAATTTTTTACATTTTTGCTGTTCTAATTATCAGTTATTCATTTGGAAAATCTAGATTTAATCTAGGTGCCAATTTGTTGTTATTTTTGTCTGATAAGTGGATGATAAAGAAGTTTCACCTTCTTATTCTGAATCCAGGGAGTGTTGTATGGCTCAGTTGGATTTGTGTGCGGCCTCATTGGTCAAGGAATAGCAAATGTGATTATGAACGCTAAGAGGTATGATTTGAACTATTGTGCTCAATTGAAAAAACATAGATGGTAGACCTCCCATTTGGTAATTGCCTTCTAGGATGATAAACTTGCTAATTTTTCTTCATATATAGATTATGTCGTAGATTTGCAATGTTTTTACTGTCACATTTATCGCTGGGAATGATTCTTAGGTAACATATTAGGTTGCAAGTGTGTTTATTTAATATGAATTAGTTTAAAGACTTACCTGAAAAGACTTAATTGAGTTATTTACCACAGAAAACACTCTAGGAAATTAGGAGACATAAACTTATAAACCTTTGAGGTTCTCATGCTATAACCAAAAAATGGAATATCTAACTTCTCGCTTTGTATCAAGTATCAATTTTACTGATAGCTTCGATTAACATTTCATACATTACTTTTACCTTCTCTTCTGTATCTCAACATTCCTTTGGATTTAATGAACTGACTGATGTACACTCTCTTGTCCTTGTAATTTATTTACTGTTTTTCTTTGGTGATGTAATAACTACAGGAGTATCAAGAAGTCTGAAGATGATATACCCGTTCCGCCTTTAGTGAAAAGTGCTGCACTGTGGGGTAGGTTATATTATATCTTTCAAAGATAAAGCTTTCGTAGATTTTGGTCTTGTTTGGTATTGACTTTCCAGTCAACACTTACTAGTACTCTAGTAGTTCAAAAGCTCATTTGGTTGAATCAAAGAGTGTTGCACCTTAGAAAGCTATAGCAATTAAAGATCTGAGAAGACAAGAAAGTAAAAAAAGGCTTTAAATGCACTGCAAGGCTAGATGGTTAACTATTAAGCAAAAAAAAATCCAGTGCACCTCTGGACTAAACGTTTCTACATTATCATGACTTTTAGTTTCAGCCATAAGTTACAAAACTAACGTTCTTCACGCGACACAACTCAATACTCTTTACACATAGTTCAGCACTTTATAACAGTTGTACCAAACAAGTCATTAGGACTATATAAATCCATTGACTTATATGCTTATTGTTCAGGTGTTTTCCTCGCAATATCTTCCAACACTCGTTACCAAATCATAAATGGATTGGAACGTGTTGTGGAAGCATCACCAATGGCAAAACGGATTCCGCCTGTTGCAATGGGCTTCACGGTTGGCATAAGATTTGCCAACAATATATATGGTGGGATGCAGTTTGTAGATTGGGCCAAGTTGAGTGGCGTGCAATAGTGCGTCCCATTTCTTTGATAGTATTATCATTCTTTTCTATTTTATGATTTTATTTGTTAATTAGAGACTTGGTCAAGATCGAGTGAATAAGACAATATAATCTTTACTTCTTTCTTCCTATTTAATTCTGGATATCCGGGTAAATTGTGTTCTATGATCTGCTTATCATTGTTATGTTTTCAGGTATTAGATTGTTGAGTTTAATAATTATGTGGGATTTGCATATTGTTTTTGTTTGCTTGATACAAATTTAGATGGGCATAGTAGAGCATTCTTGTGCAAAACTTATTTTTGGGTGCATAAGATCAGTTTGGCATGGACCAAACTGGGTCCGGGTCGGGCCTAGGCTTGGCCGGGCCTAAAAATTATGGAATGAAGCCCGAGACCGGCCCGTGTTGTGGTTGGTGCCGGTTCGGGCCGGGCCACCCGCCCGGGTCACGGGTCGGGCCACCCGCTGGGCCGATCCGGTTCCCAACTTTTTTTTCTCCATACTAATTTATACAAGTGCTGCATATTAAAAACAAAGTTCAAGGGCATTTATTTGAACTTTGGATCTCGTTCTTTCAGTTGCGTTAGAGGTTGCCCATATCAACCGAACTTCTACCACGAAGTCCACGATTCATCTTAAAAAATGTAACAAATATTAAATTGGAACAAATATATTAATATGAGTAAAAATGTAATGCAACTTATTAAAACTATTTTAATTAATACTTCAATCTAACAAGTCATGGACCCGGGCCGGGCCTGGTCGGGCCTCGGGTTTATTTGAGGGAGGCCCGGGACCGGCCCGTGCTATGGCCGGTGCCGGGTCACCCGCCCGGGTCACGGGTCGGGCCACCTGCCGGGCCGGGCTGGGTCATGTTTAATTTTTTTAATTATAGTTTATACAAATTCTTATTAAAAACAAAGTTCAAGTGCATTTATTTAAAATAGGAACTACATTTGAGAATTGAGAAAAAAATAACAATATGAAATACATTTTCTAATAAATATCAATTGGGATTTCCGCCACTGTTGGTTGTTGTTTTGCCTTTGTCACAGGACTTCATATGTTTTATTGGCATCCCGTATCCGTGTGAACGCCCCAAGCTACACTCTTTCTTGCACCACTTGTAAGTTGCCCACCACAGTCCGGTCTTCGGGTCCTTACACTTATCAAAATTGTTTTGCATAAGGGAAGATTTACTTTCCATCTTTAAAATGGTAGATGTATGAGTAGGAATGTAGGATAATAAGAGAAGATGAAGATGGAGAAGAGTTGAAGAAGAGGTGTAGAAAAATGTTCGAAAATAGATGTATTCATAGAATTTTTTGAACCCCACTCCCCACACCACCGGGACCTCCCTGCCCCCCACCCAAAGCCCCAATGGCTATATAGCCGTTTGGGAGCTATTTTTAATATTTTTTTTAAATATTTTTTATTTGAAAATTATACATATTGTAAAATAAGTTAATTAATTTAATGAATTAAGTAAAGCTATTTTTACTTAGAAAAGTGGTTTGATTTATAATTTACAAATGTTACAAAATAGGTGTATAAGTATTTAAACAAATTACATATTGTAAAGCTATTTTTATTTTAAAAACAGCCTTTAGAAATATAATTTTAAGTTGTAAGTTTGTAACTAATTAATTAATTTGAGAAGTGCTACATATGAAAAACTGAACACATATTTATTTGAAATATGAAGTACAAGTTTACAAATTACAATTGAGAATTGAGGGAAATATTAAAACATGAAATACATTTTATAATAAATTCTAAAATACTAATCAATCGGAATCTCCGGCATAAGTAGACACCATCGGTTATAATAAATTCTAAAATATAATAATGAATACAAAAGTAATGCAACTAATTAAAACTATTTTAATTAATACTTCAAACTAATTTAGTGAAAACTACTTTAATAAAATGTGAAGTACTTTAATTAAGTAGTGAATTAAAGTGTGACTCTAAAATACAAATTAAAATTCGAACTAATCAATGGTATTTTTTTAATAAATACTTAATAGTTAAAACTAACAAGTGTGACTTTAACTAAAATGTGAGTAATTAAATTATAGCAACTTTTCAAGTACTTTAATTTAGTGAAAACTACTTTAATAAAATGTTAAGTACTTTAATAAAATGATTGAACTACTCTTTTTTCGTTCAAATATAAATTCAAACTATTATAATGTGACTTTAGCTATAATGACAATTAACTAGTTTTTTTAAAGTAGAGTTGTTTTAGCAATTAATGGGAATACTAATTAACTAATTAACTAGTATAATGAAAAATGTAACAGTTAGTGGGAATACTATATAACTAATCAAGTAATGTTAATACAAAATGTAAGTAATAAGACAAAAGTATGAATATGTATAGTAATTAATGGGAGTAAATGAGTAATAGAATGATTTTAAGTAATATTAATTAAAGTGTAACTAATATATAATATATTGTTTATAGTATATAATATATAAGTATACTACTATAAGATGAGTAATACACTTATATTTAATACTTTAATATATAAAGTATATATTAAGTAGATGTAGAGTGTATGTATTAAGTAGATAATAAGTAGAGATTAAGTAGATAAGAAATTTAAGTTATATAGTATATGTATTTATAAGTAGATAATTAATATATAAGTAGATATAATAATTGTATAAGAATTAAATATTAAAGTATAATGGAGATTGGAGAATAAGAAAATAAGTAAATAAGAAATATAAGTAGAGAAGTAGATATTATTATGTATTAAGTATATACTAATAGTTTATAAAGTATATTTAATACTTTAATATATAAAGTATATATTACGTAGATGTAGTATGTATGTATGTATTAAGTAGATATAAGTAGAGATTAAGTAGATAAGAAATATAAGTAATATAGTATAGAGGATTATTCATGTCCCTCCCTTCCTGACCGGAGCGCCGTCCGGCCTCCTCCTTTGGGGGGGGGGGTTCCCGGTGGTATTTTTTGATCAAATTTTTTGTTTCTGTTCTTCATCAAGTCTAGTCCATCCATACCAAATTTGAGCAAAAACTTCTATGAGGAAGGCCGTCAAATGATTTTTGAAAGTTAACTGCGTTTTATATGTATATTCCGGAGCAGTTAACTTTCAAAAATCATTTGACGGCCTTCCCGATGGCATATTTTGCTCAAATTTGGTATGTATGAACTAGACTTGATAAGGAACATACACAAAACATTTGAGCAAAAAATACCACCGAGAACCTCCCCAAAAGGAGGAGGCCGGACGGCGCTCCGGTCAGGAAGGGAGGGACCGGAAGATTACTCATATAGTATATGTATTTATAAGTAGATAATTAATATATAAGTAGATATAATAATTGTATATGTATTAAATAGTAAAATAAAATATAATGGAGAATAAGAGAATTTGAGAAGATGAATATGGAGATGAGTAGAGAGTAGAGAGTAGGATTTAGGAAGAGTTGGAGAAGATGTGTAAAAAAATGTTTAAAATTAGGAGTATTTATAGCTTTTTTTAACCCCCCACCCACCCCCCACCCCCCAAAAGCCCCGGAACCCCCTAGTACCCACCCAACGGCTATATAGCCGTTTGGGATGTGGGTCAAGAGCCAAACGGCTCTTTACAAATAAAACATTTTTTTTAATTATGGCCGTTAAGCCTGGACCCGGGCCCGACCCGGTCGGGCCGGGTTGCCAAAACCAACCCCCGAGCCCGGACCCCCCCACCGGTTCGGGCACTGAACCGGACCCGAGAACCGGGCCGATTCCGGGCCCGCACAGCAGCGGGCCGGGCGGCCCGAACCGGGTCCAAGACTACTAACAAGTGTAGTTTAATGTAATAAAATTCTAACAAATATTTTTTTATAAAAACAATTCGAGTGAAATGTGAACTATTTTAATTAAAATGAGAATTTAACTAAAATGCGATTATTATTAAAATGTGAAGTACTTTAATAAAATGTGAAGTACTTTAACCAAATAATTTGAACTACTTATTTTCTTTGAAACTACTATAATGTAACAATTAACTAAAATGCGATTATTATTAAAATGTGAAGTACTTTAATAAAATGTGAAGTAATTTAACCAAATAATTTGAATTACTTATTTTCTTTGAAACTACTATAATGTAACAATTAACTACTTTTGTAAAGTAGTCACAAAGGTAACAATTAATTAAAATTTGTCATGAACTAATGTACTGCTTTAATAAAAAATGTAACAATTAAGTAATCAACTAATAATGTTACAAAAAATGTAACTAAGAAGACAAATGTATGAATGTGTATACTAATTAATGAGAGTAATAGAATGAATTTAACTAATATTAATTAAAATGTAACTAATATATAATATATTGTGTATAGTAGACAATTATAAGTATGAGTATTAAATAACAAGTATGTAATAAGTAGATATTAAGTATATATAAGTATATAATATGAGTAGTACACTTATATATATAATTAATATATTAATTAGATGTAATATAAGTAATATATTAGTAGATAACAAGTATATAATAAGTAGATATTAAGTATATATAACTATATAAGTAGATAATTCGAAGTATATTAGTAGATATTATAATTGTATAACTAATATATAATATAATGTTTATATTATATACTATATAAGTATATTACTATAAGATGAGTAATATTGTAATACACTTATATTTAATACTTTAATACTATCTATATAAAGTTTATATTAAGTAGATGTAATATGTATGTTTTAAGTATATATTAAGTAGATAATAAGTAGATAATAAGTAGAGATTAAGTAGATAATAAATATATAAGTAGATATAATAATTCTATAATTATTAAATAGTAAAATAGAATGGAGAATTAGAGAATTTGAGAAGATGAAAATGGAGATGATTAAGAATAATAGAATATTAGAGAGTACAGAGTTAGAAGAGTTGGAGAAGAGGTGTAGAAAAATGTATAAAATAGGAGTATTTATAGTTTTTTGAAATAATTACATAAATATGACCAAAATAAAGATGGTTCACAAAAATATGATTAGTTACTAGAGTAGTAATGAAATCATAGTAGTTCATGTTCAAGTTTTGAACTTAAGTTACCACAACACTACATTGTAGTAAAGAATAGTCATATTTATGTAAATAAGTTTTATTTTAGTAATATTCTTGTAAAAAACCCATAGCCGTTTGGGAGCCGTTACCCAACGGCTAGGGGGCTGTTTTTTTTTTTT